ATAACCTCGGACATTGGTCTGTTGTGAAGCTCTTAGAAATATACAGTAGCACCAGGTGATACCAATTAATATTAGTTCGAACCGGAAGTATGCAAACATGTCTAAGTATGGAATATGAAACCATCAATATGAATAGATGTATGCCTCAATATAATTTTCATTAAAGAGTCCATTAGACTGATAATTATAATCGGCTAAACAAATAACCAATCAGGCCTCCTGGTCACGCTATAGTGAGCAAATATTGGCCGGAGCAGACTCGTATTGTCCGTAGTAATTACAGTTGGAATGAGAAACCAAGGCTAGTAATAATCGTTTGATTTTATGATCAAATGACACGCATTTTCTGTCTCTTTACTTTCACGTCTTAACTTAAACATTCACCAGATTGGCTTCCAATATAATTCATTGGATTATATAGGTCAATTAAACAACTTGTTTGGTATTCACTGTGTTTAAATTCTCTAACAATAAAAGAGAAATATCAACAACATTGTATTCAAGAATAAGAATTACGATCATCCTGGTGAAGTGTAAATGAAACTTTGATATTGATATTCTAAATCATTATTTCTGATAACGGACGCGATCTACATATTTCCAAGTGAATGTTTCAAACACTTTCAAAAAGAACTGCTTCCATAAATGTATGTTACAGTTCTTTGAAAATATACTATTAATAGGGGATAACCTAACTTACTAGCACCATACGTGTTTCTCTATATATACTTGGCTTTCGTTTTGTCACAACGGCCGAGTCCGTAAAATCAGATGTCATAAAAATATCAGAACACTTCGTCCAAAAAACACTCGAATACTCAGGTGGTCAGAAGGAAAGGTATAATTACCATTTTTTTTGTTCAGAATATCCTTAGCAGGTATCATTTATACCAAACTGAAAAATCTTATTCCTAGTAAGGGTGTTCACTTTAACAAATACGGTACCTCCCTGAACTTATAATACAACCTCGACAAAACATCGTGTGATGACTATAACAGCTCTCTTATGTAAACTGATGCATATTCGATAGACTACGGTACACGTGTCATTGTTTTTGTTTATCAGTGATAGTGAAGCGGTATATAATGATACAGCTCTATAAATGCAGGGACACAAATATATATCAATTCGATTTAATGATTAATTGGTTATATGTTTTGATGGTTTTTAAACAAAAGCAATACAATTGTAATATAAAACCTCATATATCCGTTAATCTCTATGTAAACTCCGTCTCTCAATACTCCCAATTAGCAGCGCTCCGGGTCATATTTATTCGAAAGGCTATACATATATGTAATGCCCATTCTAGCTCCTAAACACAGAGGCCTGGTTAGCTTTTCAATGGACAACAGTGGTATTACCAGGTGGAAAATACGAACAGCAAAATGATATAATTCTTTTAAAACATTGTACAAGTATTCTCAACAACTAAACATAAGAAATTTCTATCAGCATACTTGAAGAGATGGTTAGAAATGTATCATTTTGATAAAAAAAAAAAAAAAAAAAAAAAAAAAGTTAGGAATAGCGCGTTCATTTTATCAATACTTTTCGATGTCGGAAAAAAAAACTCTATGGTATCAACGTTTAAATATATTAGCTTAACTTTATTCTAAACAAAAAAATAATCTCAGATAGATGTGATGGATTAGATTTCATATTAGATAATTTGTTTGGTTTTTGTTTAATTTTGTTTAACGTCCTATTAACAGCTTAGTTCATTTAAGGTCGAGTCTCTGTGTATGTGTGCTGGATACAGGGTATGTTGGCGTTTTTGCCTCCTTGTGATAGCGCGGATATGATGCCGACTTTATAGTGCTATTTCACTGATATACCATGCTGAAGGAACCTAACATAGCATTCCACCCTGTCACATTATACTGACAACAGGTGAACCAGTTGTTGCCATTCCCCTTATAGGGACTCGCCGGAGTGAACGCGACGAAACAGCTACCGTACACCCTAGCTTGCATTGCTTCTCGTCCCACTACGAATCGCCTCCAAACTATATTACGGCTTATTACGTACTGTCACGTTTTGTTGTGTTCATCCGGTTTTACTACGGCCTACTAGGTTTCTCATCCGCACCATGACTGCCGTGGCAAATTTTTTGACAGTTAAAAAATCTGGCCCGGCAACCACGGCAATCACGGCCTGTCACGTTGTCTCATCCCGTCCCCCCGCGTTATCCCACGTCCATCCCGTTTTGTCCACGTTGGCCTGAAACGTAATTGCCGTGGCCACCGGGAACATAATGTAAACGTAGCATAAGCTCGTAAATCGAATACCATTCCAGAGGAGGAAATTTGAAGGTTCGATAAGTTTACAAAAAAAATCGATTACCACATTTTAAAGATGCAAACACGTGTGTTCATATTTTCTGTTATTTTTTAAAAAGATGATTAAAAATACATATTTTTATCGATGATATTTTATAGTTAGCTCGAGAATATGTTCATTGTAGAATATACAAGCTGTGTTTTTCTGGCCGTCTGCTCATCATTACATTGTCCTTAGAGTATAATTATACAGGTATCCACGGAAACCGGATATCAACTATCGGTCCGTCTCTTTACTTAGAATCAGTTATCACGACTTGTTTGTGACAACCGACACCTGGCTACAGTTAGGCTATACTGATAATGGATGCAGAAATCTCACTCTAAAGCATTGTCAGTACTTCCCTGTGAACAACTACAGTGTAACAAATGAAATAAGTATCTGATAGCTATATTACATCTTTGTTTTTTTTTAAATCAGCCTGGTTTACAAATAATTCTCTCTTTTAAGACAGATATTTTTGTAGATGTAAAATGCATCCAGCTTCAAAATAAGGAATATGAGCAAAGACAAAAATATTTAATATAAACTTCATTTATTTTGCAACAATTATGAAACAAGTTATTTCAACTTATATTAATCACTCTTGTTGGCCCGGATGGAAGCGTTCCTAGGGTCTTAATGTGGAGGAAACTGGAGTACCCGTGGAAAATCCACGTGGTCGGGCAGGTAACCTTTTACCTTTTCACGTCCGATCGGGGAATCGAACAGCTATCCACTGCACCACCCGACCACCCAACAATATGTCTTGGTATAACAAATATATTTTAATAGCAAGGCTGTTGATGACTCATGGCATCCATACTCTAAGAAAGAAAACTGCGTTCAGCATAAATAGTTACATGAAAGAAATAGGTTTAATAAAAATATGTATTTCATTGATAACTTAGTTATTAAGATCGTTTGCAGGCAATTATAATACGAGATGATATATATTTCTCCCATCCTTCACAGGTGAGTCTCCCTTTTGAGCCGGAATAGATCAGCCTGTCACCCCCTAGAGGGAGATAACCTCATGCAGAATGGCGAAAATTTAAGTCATAGTAACGGTATGATGTCAGGTCATCAATGTTTCGACTTCACGTCAACAGACGTAGACCATGGAAGACAACTCTGGATTTGCTGGGGGAGGAGGGGGGGGGGTACAATCAACGGTTATATTTTATGAAATCACCGCTTGTCTGCGGATTTTTGAGTGAAATAGGATGGGAGAAAAACAGTTAGCACTACCTTGAGGGTGTGACTAGGAAATCTCCAACCCTCGAGGTGTTATTCTCGAATGTCATTCTTGATAGAAAATCAAGAATATCATCACTCGAGCTTGTGATTTCTCTGTCACACCATCAAGGTAGGGGAAGATTCTCTTGATTTATCTTTATAATTGGAAAATATCGATATCTCGAGGGACATCATATTAAGGGTTTCTATGTTATTAGGGAAGTGTCGCAAACACCTCAAACACTTTCGATCACATACCATTTATTTATAGGTCAACAGTTACCATATTATAGATGACTAATGTGGCAAATAATTTCAAACTGCGCGTACTCCTTGTCAGTATTTGTGTAGCCATTACAACACTGAAGTAAAATTAGATATTTAAATAGTTACATCAGCTTGTTAATGGTCATGAGGTCATGCAGCGCTGTTCATAATCGGTTTCTAAATCTGTTATGTTCCCTCTGGGAAATTCATGATAATCTTTCCAGCATCGTTATATACAATACTGTGTCCGCAAGTATATGCAACCTACAGTGTGAAGAATTATACTGCTGAACATGGCAAATATTAAGCCGTTCGGAACACCTCTTTACAAAACAGCATGAAACAATAAAACCAACTAATATCGAATGGAATTAGATTTCCGATACAATTCATGTATTTCAATTAGCATCATAAACGAGTCAGTTCAATGAAACAGTAGTTTGGAATCATGTTTTAAGCCGACAGAATACTTATGTTCTACGAGAAATCATTTCGAACCCTCATCTGATATACAAACTCATTTTTAGTGACCTCTGCAAACGTCATTTTCCTTTACCTTGATTAATCGAGAAAATTATACAAACGCATCAAAACCCTGTTATCCAGAAACAGAAACGTGTATGTAAATTGCTCTAAACGTCGATCAAGCTATGAATATTCATTAACTGCAGTAACAGTCCAATACTACCATTAACAGCTATGTATCTCTATCGATTTGTGCCAGGACTAAAAACCACTCGAGTTCTGTACTCAGATCTGTCCATTTTTATTTCATGATTGGCTTTCGTATTGCATGCATATTTACGTTGTATCTTGCTGAATAAATATTGGTTTAACTTTAAATGATACGTAGGGCCGACACTGACCTGGTCAGAGGGTGTCAATGTTACCTTGGTCATTATCAGTTTCAAGATGACTGGCCTTTCATCCGGTAGAACTTCACTTAAGTAAACAAAAGATTATTGCAGATTTTTGATACCATATCTTTTGTCTTTTTTCATTGCGAATGTATCGTGTTGATCCATTGATAAAGTAATACTGATCAGGTACGGTATTTCTCAATCTGCATACCTGAAAACCGCACCCAAAATAATCTCCTGGTAATGCCTAGGTAAAGCCCAGGTACGGGTTCTCAAGCTAGATGAACTCATACCACTCCACATTACCTCATGTTACACTCTAAAGTCTGGATAAGGACACATCTGGGAGGGCGACATGAAGGTAAGACTTGTGTCTAACTTTGAATTTCTGTTTGCAGTAATGTTATTATATCTTCTATTTCGTATTTCTGTGTTTTTAATATTTGATGATTGATATATAGCCAGTAAATGATAAGGTCTTACATAATGTGTTGTGAAAGTGTTGTAGTTGTCACTATATGTCTGTTTTCATTGTTTTGTATATACCTTAGTAGAATAACAAAGTACGAGGTAGTTATGGGTCACCAAATAAATTGTGGCCAGTATTAAATATGAGAAAGTATGTCTTCATAAGTTCCTAGTTGTATAAACCATTACTAATTACACGATAAACATCACCTGTAATAGGGTCTGTTTGGTTATAGTTTACATTGTGGCAATTATTTTGATTAAAGGAATATTGTTCATAAGATTCAATGTGTATAGATCCTCAACATAAACATATAGACTTTGTAAGTAATGTCATATAGACCAGTTATTCCATGTGTAATGTTTTCCGTGTATTTATTGTTAAGTTATAATGTATGTAATGTGTAATATATATAAAACATTATTGGACTAATCGACTTAACATATACGTTATCTTCAATTGTCCATTAAAACACATGATTCTCTGTTCTAACTATTGGCACAAATACTAATGTAAGAATGTTTTATATATTTCATGTAAAACAAAAAAATTAACTAGCGTTATCAACAAAACGATAATATTTATAAATATAAACATGTATCAACTATAGTCAGTGTATAGATTCATACATTTCTAGTATAAACTTTGTGTGGTAATCGAGGGTGAGTGTTTCCTAGTTTTATGAGGGTTTTTAATACTGTCTCTTGCCTAAAACAAAAACTAAAATTCTAAGTATTTATTGTTTCCTCTGTTGTAAGCTGTGCTTTATGTCAACATACCTCCCCTAACTTTCTGTCACATGACCTGCAGTGTTCAGACGAAAGTAAATATTTATTTTGAGATTATTAGCTAAATAAATAAATTGATCGGATCATTAGGAGTTCATCCAATGTCGCTCATAAATCTTTCTATGTATCATCTCCCCAACTACAATTTCCTACCAAACAAAAACTAATCCATAAACTGTATCTATAAGGGAAAATGATAATCTCGATTTAACATAGTCAACATAATAACCTGAACTGCATTAAAAACTGCAAAAACCGATATACAAACTTAGCAAACCATGATATATTTTACTATGTGTGAAATATTTATGTGATTATCTAATCTGATATTTTCATGATTATATAATTACGATCAAAGGAAACACTTTCATAAACTAAGTTCGTATCATGTTACAGATTATTTTAATAGCTTTTCCATATTTATGATTATTTGAAGAACACTACACGGGCTATTTTTGTGTATAAACTACAACTGAATTCCACACTTACATTCATTACTTCACTGAAGTATTAGGTTTCTGTACACAACTCAATAACGTAAATCGTTATCAGTGTCTTATCAGTGGTAAAGTGTAGTGACGAAGTCCCATATCAGATCAGTCATGTTTACTGTGTAGAAAATCGATAAAATTTGTGTCATGTTTTGCAGAATGTCATTAGTCAATCTTTGTTTTTAACGGACAACATAAGAGGAGTCTAAACGTTGGTTATAGTGTTCGGAGGGGGGCTACTCTATGAACGTTCAGAAAAAAACCTTTAGTTTTAAAATATATGACAAAAATTAGGAAATATGTTTGTTTCTGGATATGGATGGTTCCTCTAATCAATAGTTTTTTTAAGTGTTTTGTTTGCTATTAATTGAGTGTTTTATAATATCGTTTCTAAGATATTTATATATATCTTATTCATTATGTCTAGTAAAAATATAAAATCATTTCCATGATAGTATTAATTTTGAGGGGTCTGTACATGGAGGAAATCATCAGAGTATGGCTTTTGGTTAGCTTTGCTTTCTTTCTTAGATATATATATATACCATTGTAAGTACTTTTCTGTTACTCGTCACCTACTCATCTGACTGCAACTGGCAGTATTTCAATTACAATAATTTCTTTTCGATAACAAATAACAAGATTTTTATAGTTATATGGTCGCCATCAGAATCATTCGGGGAAGTATGTTATTCGAACCGTTTTATTATGCTCATTAGAGTGCCTTGTGGTTTAGTTGTTACTTCCCGGGTTCTCGATGTGAGAGCTTGACATAACTTTGATCGACTTAAGATTAGCATGACGGGTGTCTTCGATGAGGAAGAGGATGCTTATTCTTCCTGAACACCTGGTCTTATTCTCCTTTTACTTTTTCAAGGGTCTCCATGTAAATATTTCCTTTGTCCATATTTTGCGATGATTTTATCGATTTTGAGTTTGAATTATGGTTTTGTTGACACTTCATGTCATGTGGTTTCCGTTCATTTTTTCAATACACCTAATATTTGACAGTTAACAATATATCCCAGTTGAACAGGACTATCTTTAGTTATTCGTATACTCAAGTGTGTTGCCATCTAAATATTGACTTCGGATATGGACCGAGTTTTATCGTATTTACATGCTATCTTTGTTCATGCGTTTGTGAATGACATTCCTCTGATAACGAAAACACTGTCGGTTTATTCTGATGTAATGAATGAATCTATCTAATTTCCTATTTATTCATACTGACCACACAAAATATACTATTCTAGTGTAAACCCATGTAGTTTGTCCTTATATCTTGGGTAGATGTTAATCAATGCATTACGTATCAAGGGTTTACAATTAGAGATGCTTCAATCTACACTATAGAAAATTCGAGGTTATCTTAACCTTGTTCCCATCCGTGAAGATTAATAAACATTTCTCCACAACGTGCCAGACATATACAAGACTACTGGTAATCTCATATAACAAATTCTAATTGCACGGATTTTAGCAAATCCATTTAGTTATCTTCGGCGGTTACTAATTGTTGACGTGACGTCATGTACTTGGTGTGACTGGGGAATCCCCTGCTATTTCCTCCTGGGTAAGAAAGAAACAGCCTTCCCTGACCGTATGTTTAGATGTCTGTACCTAAATTGCAGGTGGGGATTCAGTGTCTTATATCATATTAGATTTATTCTCTGTGTAGAAGAGATGTTTTGTCTTTTTATACGACTACATATCGGTTTTTAGTACGACTACATTGTTTATGGCAAAAGGTTTCAAAAATAATTTTAAAAGGGTGGTCCAACACAAGGAATGGTTAAGACTCTGCAGTTAACCTATGATTAGACGAAATGGCTGTTAACTTAGAATAGAAGTAACCGCATTCATAGTTTGATTACCCAGTATAACTTTAAATCGATACAATTAGTGTGTGTTATTAAGTCTAAATAATTTACATAAAAGTAAGCTCATTCTAACCGTAGTAGAACATTCAGTTGACCCTTGATTGGAAAAAAGAAATAAACTTTATTCTTGACCTGGTGAATACACGTGGGAGTGGCCTCATCCAGGGATTCATATAGTTACCCACTTTAATATCAAAAGGTCAAACTATGTCTAGAGTAATATTCACCGACTAAGTATGGGAGTGACCTGGGGTCTATAAGACCTACCCTGTCATCTGATAACGGTCCAGGTATAACGGGGTGCCCCTTACCAGAGGTGTCACCTGTACTACGCATGGGGTGACCGGTATGTTTGTTTAAAGGGGAAACATCCCCAGTCCATCGATCATCTAAACAAACATTGAACTCACCTCTACATATTTGTTTTAAAATACCATTGTCTCCAGTTAACTGCAAGTACAAGTTTATAATTTACAGTATATTCATGTCATTTTTTTTTCTTTCTTCTTTTCATAATTGAAATAACGCATAGATTAAAAAATGGTATGAGTATTTAAATTCAATGAAAGTCGCTAACACAATACTATAGAAACTTAATCATGAACATAACAAACAAAATGTGAACTTGACTTATTGCTTTGGTTGTTTTAAAAAACTAGTTTCCAGTTGTAGGATATAATTGTCCTACTATCACGCTTAAATAACGTGATATTCCGTACTAAACTAGCTTTGTGCTTACGGGACATCTAGAAAATGTGAACTTGACTTATTGCTTTCGTTGTTTTAAAAAACTAGTTTCCAGTTGTAGGATATAATTGTCCTTCTATCACGCTTAAATAACGTTTTACAGATTTTCGCGAGTTATGTTTTATTCGTTTGGCGATACAATTGCGAAAACAACGCAAACATTTCAGTGGATAAGAAAAATACTAAGCTCTTAATAGGAACATATGTGTAAAAGGCCAACAACCAGACGTCGAAATCTTTTTTTGAACGGTTACGACATATACCATCACCATCACACTTAAATAACCTGATATTCGGTACTGAACTAGCTTTGTGCTTACGGGACATCTGAAAAAAAATAAGGGATATTTAGTTGTAATGTGAAGAATTGCAACACGCTCTATATTTCATGTAGAAACACAATGTAGTCTTTGATTCTCGATTTACGAATTCAAAGTCCTTAGATTTGAACAGAGGTCTTAATAAATATTTGTATTTTTAATGTTTCTGTTCTTCGTATAAAAATGAATAAACATACTTGTTGTAGCACACAGTTTAACCTCTTGACCTTTGTCATATGCTCTAACAAAAGCCTATCAATAACGAAATGTCACCCTTTCTCAAGGGAAATATGTGAAATTTTCAATATAGCAGAGGTGGTTTCACTACAGTAATGGAATGAATATGGAATGTGGTTTTGGTTTCACAATAAAAAGGCGGCAGGTCATTGTAACATCCACTAAAACTGCCCGACCAGAAAAGATTTTGGAAATGGCTCAGCAAATAAATCGCAAAATCAAAGAAAATATAAAGTAGGTATAAACAAGTTGCGTTGTCAGAAATGTTTAACTTCAGTTTTTGTTTCTTTTATTTCAGTTACAGCACTACACAATGCTGAGAAATGTATTGTTCGCTCTGGTCATTGTAGCACATGTGTGCTCGCAATGTAATGCAATGACTATTGATCCAGGTAGGAATTTTATATTTTTTCGTTAGATTTTGTTAGATTTGAAATAATAGTTATTGCAATAGAATATATTTGTCATCATTATGGATATTTCAGAACGTTTTCGGTGTATTGAAATATAGAATTTTGGCAAATTAAAAAGTACTTATGTTTTGCTTTTGTGTAATAAAACTGTTGTATTTAAAATTATTTATTTTCGACATAGTTCATGATAACAGACATTCAATGATGACAAATTTACTTGTGTACGTGCACCAACTCCGTTAGATATAATGGCTACACAGGGTTTACCAAATATGTTTAATTGAAGTATGATTGATGAGAATTGTTTTGGTCAATCCCATTGGATGTTGAATGGAGTTGTTGGTTTTGAAAGAAAAAATGAAATTAAGTCTGTTAACTAATATCAATTTTGTTTCAAGGACACCTCGCTTGATCACATAATTAAATCGACAGAAGCAAAGTTCAATCTTTGAATGTTATAACAGTAGTGTCCACTCCGTGTAACTTTCTGCGTAAGAAATGTTCCTGAGATAAACATAACAGATGTGTTAGATATAGAAAAAATACAAAAGTATTGTCACCTTTAAAATAGGGAAATGAATGAAACAATAACAGTATTGAAACGTATCTTATTTGTTGCAGCCTTCGCGATGTGTTACACTCTGTGTCCAACCACGACTACTTCGACCACAACCACTACTACAACAACCCCTGCATCAACTACCACAACCACTACTACAACTCCTTCACCGCCTACCACAACCACTACTACATCTCCAGAACGAACTACTACAATCACTACTACAACAACTCCTGCATCAAATACCACAAGCAATACTACAACTCATGCACCGCCTACCACAACCATTACTACAACAACCCCTGCATCAAATACCACAAGCAATACTACAGCTCCTGCACCGCCTACCACAACCACTACTACATCTCCAGAACGAACTACTACAACCACTACTACAACAACTCCTGCGCCGCCTACCACAACCACTAATACAAAAAACACTGCGCCATCTACCACAACCATTTCAACAACTCAAGCGAAAAATTCCACATCAATTCGAACAACTCCAGTGCCAACTACAACACCTACTAAGGCAACTCCGTTGCCAATGACTAAAATAACTTCAACAACTCCAACGCCATCTACAATTACCACAAAAACTAAATTGGCGCCAAATGCTACAAATGATACAACTCACATTCCAACTGTCACCAAAGCCGCAACTCCTGCGTCATCTACCTCAAATAATACGAAAACGTTAGCACCTGCTACCCAAACCACCAAACCTCCAACTACGGCTACTATGACAATTCATTCAAACTCTACAACTCAATTTGCAACAGCTTTCGGACCCCCTCCAACTACAGCAACACCAAGTACCACAGCAAACGCGGTTTCAGATAAAACGACAAAAAACTCATCAGTTACTTCAACAAAGATTACAGCGATATCAAAAACTACAGTTAACTCGAAGACGGCGTCGTCTCCCCCGCATTTTACCACAACAAAGTCGAATATAACTATAACTCCTGTAAATAATGCTACTAAGAGTAATAACAAAAGCACTGGCATATCCAACCATTCGACAAAATCATCTCGAGGGCAATCAACAACTTCGGCTGCCAACAATTCAGTTGTAACATCTTTTCTATCTCCTGAGCTAACAACTATACCACTTACTACTACAAAAAATAAAGCAAACATAATTATGACGTCATCAACTGATAGACCCTTGTCTACAACAATCGATTCTCATACGACAGAAGTAAATACATCAACACCTGCTCCCTTGTCCGAAACTACAGAAAAGGCAACAACACAAAAACAGACAAATAATACATCAAAGATTACAATAGCATATTCTACAAATACGACACTGACAACAGTGGCTGCAACATCTGTTAAACCAGTTACGACAACCACAGACACTACGACTACGACAAATGCAACACAAATAGAGCCAAAAACAACATCAAAAGGTTTCTCAAATACAGCAACAAATACCCATTTGAGTACACCGGGGAATTCTCAACCACAAGGACCAACTAACAATGCACCAAATATAACGGCAGGTACATCAACAACACAAAAGGAAACAACAGAAAGTGTATCAACAACAACTTCGACCCCGGTAATGTCAACGGCTGATACAGCGATAACAACGGCTTATAAAACGTCAAGTGAATCAGACGGAGGAATGTTAACAACGAAAGTTACTGCTGGATCAGCTACAACAAAAGTTACGACTACAATTAATACCCCAGCAACTCATACAAAAGTTACATCAATAGGGCCAGTATCAACAACGACAGAAACAAGTGAAACAACATTATCGCAGGTGACGTCATCTACTGCAAATCTAGTTATAAATAGAACAGACAACTTAGAAACTACCACTACCGAAGTTACTAGCCTAACCCCGACAACTGTCGGTGCAATTTCATCGACACCAGCTACGTCCACAAATCAAACCACATCATCAAACACAGCAACATCTTTTACAGATGCATCAAAGACTATGCCGACACAAATACCAGCAACGGGTACAACGGTCTCGAAAACAACCCTAACAACTTCAATAACGACAACAAAAGGAAACGTCTCTACAACGTTATTAAATAGCCCAACACCAGACGTAAAATCCACCACCACAGCTACAAGCGACTCTGTGCCCTCCACTACAACTCTTAAAAGCAACACAAAGATTCCAGCAACATCTGCTCCGTCAATTACAGGTTCACCAACAAGTACTAGGGACACTTCGAATAATACAATGTTTACATCGACGACTACAATTCCCAATCGGACTGAAATTATTTCTACCACGAATAAAACAACACCAACTACAACAAAAACAAGTCCAATACATTCAAATACAACACAAACAACAACAACTATAGCCTCAACAACTGCTAATACGACCACAATAGTTCTACTGAAGACTACGGCTAACCCAAATATAACCTCAACTAAACGATCAACGACTGCAGCTTCTTCCAATACATCATTACAGACTATAACGACAACTGTTACAACTCCAACAACTCGAATTCCAACTACAACAACTCCAATTACAACCACAGTTCCAACTATTACCACAACTCCAACAACAACAACAAAAATAGACTGCGTAGCAGTTTGTCGTGCCTTGGGTAGAACACCTATTTATACTTCAGCATCGCCTTTGTCGTCATCGTCTACTGTCTCAACATCGACTCCTGCCTTGGTATCACACTCACCGTATGACAATGTGGAACCACAATGGGGTAAGTATGATACAGTATAAACGCAACTGTTCAACCTGATCGAGTATACATAGATACAATTTAAAAAATGTATCTGAAAATGATATCAAATTTGTTTGACAAAAATAACAAAATATAAAGTAGTTGTTTTGCAAATTGATCATACTCCTGTGAAATTTAGACATCCAAAAGTATACATTTGAGAAAAAAGCAGAAAGTGTAATCCTTAAATCAACGACATCGCACATCATTATCGGTCCCGTTTGTATTTACTTTCGAGAACTTCCAGTTTATTAGGTTTTTTCGACAAAATTTGCATCCCTCTCCTGAAACATATCAAAACAATAGACACCATGAAATAATTGATATTGGAAAAATGATATACATGGATATTGTTATTACATTCGGCTTTTTCTTCATTTCCAGCAATAGCTTTTTTCCCGTTACATTTCACCATTTCCTTCAACATCCCTTGGACGTCAAGTTATGACGTCAACACGTCAAACATGTATATCAACCTCTCGAATAAAATAACTGTGTTTGTAAGTAAACATCAATTTATCATTTGAATATTTATACTTTGTTGATATGTAGGTAGAAGATTTCTACATTACCACTAAGAACAAAAGTTTCAGTACATAATTTAATTGCCAAACTCAATGATAGTTAAAGGCTATGTGAAAAGTAAGAAATTGACAGTTTTCTTCTTAAGTTTGAAAAATGTGACAAGCTTTTAGAATGTTGCAACTTTTTATTTCTTTATTAATATTTGTGACCTATATTTTTTATTTTTTTTATTTTTTTTGTAATTGGATAGGTCGCTTGTATTATTATGTGGAATTTTTTTTGTAAATATTTGAATTAAAAAGTCAGTACATACACCTCGTTTAACCATAATGAGGCTTTTTTTATAGAGATTTCCATTTCTGATCGCCGCCTATAGTTTGGAGCATTCCTTCCTTGTTACTTAATTTCTCACATTATGGAGATTTTTTCCCGGATGTATGATAAGGTACTTATTTTGTAACACGTGATGCTGTTTTATACCATGATTGAGCCTCACATATATTACTTTTCTTTTTCTTTTTCAGTTAGAAAGTCATTACATTTCCATCCCTGGCCTCAGGAGTGCAGCAGTCATTGATTTGAGGTAAATTAAGAATCAATAATAAGTTAAATTATTTTATAAACCCACTTATTAACCGTAGAACTATTCAAACTATAAACACAAAGTTCTGTCATAATCAACGTGTTATACTTTTATTTATATCATTGTACATACACGTTTGTTCGGTTGTTGTTTTGACAAATATAACGAATTGGATTAAATGGCTTAAGTACTAAAATTCTTTATTTGACATAGCGTAAAGTCCCAAAGTCGAGTGTAAAAATTGTGCCTGTAATTTTTTCACATCTTTAAAGAAGTAAACAATGCACATTTCCCCCTCAGTCAAAGTTTGACAAAGAAAAGAGTCGGTCGTCAAATGTTCCCACGGCGGTTGTTTGTGCTAAAGCAAATTGTTTCTACCTACCTGTCTTTTAGATTGATGAATCTTTTTGAGTAAAAACAGGTTCAAAAGTTTCTTTCAAGTAAAGAAAGATGCATATGTTGCAAAATTGAATTAATGATCTCATTATCATTATTTAATAAACAAAAAGCATCCCTGAAAAACACAAGGGAAATAATTCTGTTATTTAAACATCATGCAGGCTGACATCGATTGTATCATTAGTAAACAAATCTTTATTAAATTAAACAAACTTTGATTAATATCTTATTTATACTCACCTGACAAAATCCCTTTGTAATATGTTTTAATAAATATTAATGAAATGTTTAATATTGCTGTATGTCGACAGTCGGGGGAGTGTAGTATGCACATACTCGTTAAGTGTATCAGCCTCGCTCTATCTAACCAGCGACGCTTACAACGCCACGATGGCAAACATCAACAAAACAACAGAAAAATTCGAATTAATGCCGTCTGCAGCAAACATTGGGGCGCTTAGTATTGACTATATCAAAAACCACAGACAAATGGAATATGCACAAGGTTGGTAAATTTAATCATGCATGCACAACTAAACTGGGAATATGGAAAATCTGCTTCCGATAAAAAATGTTTAAATAACGATTGTGTCATTTTTGATGAAAGAAATCAGAACTTATCCTTTGAAATACAAAAATTAATTTCGAAATTCCATTTTCTTCATCAGAATGTAATTGAAACGATAAAATATATATATTGCAACTATTTTATAAATCAAATTCAACGCCAGAAGAAATATACTGTAAATGTGGATTTTTTCACGTGTGGAATGTTCGCGATATGACCCTTTAAAATGATCGCGGCGTGCCAATTTTTGGTTTGGGTAATAGTTCTGAAATCTATTTATTATATATATATATATCTTTTTCTATATAATCTATCAATAAATATCTGCTTGCGAATATTTTTGCGCTAATTCACTCGACGCGTAAAACGCGAACACCACGAAAATTAACACTTTTACAGTCATGCTAGGTAAAATGTATTAGATTATTTTGTTATATCATACATTGTTTTACGTTTTATACAATAAGGTATATTGATTCAAACTACTGGTATAACTAATTTCTCAAAAAAGTGTTAAATTTTATATTCCAGCCCTAAATGATTCTCAGTCTCCTTGCAATGCCACATACATATGTCCCATAGGGTACACGTGCCTTTACACGTCCGGAGAGACCACATGTGAACACATGTGTAGAACGCATAACCCCTGTCATAATGGAGGCACGTGTTATGTTAATGAACAGAACAAAGTTGGATGCAAGTAAGATTTTACCTTAAGTTATGTGAGATATTATATCATTTTATCAGATAGTATATCATTTTATCAGATACTTATCTCATTTCGTAAAGCCTTAATTATATATTTAAGTTTTGAAAATGATTGCAAAACTTTTTATCACGAGTTATATAAAACAAGTTATACTCTAATTAAGTTAAGTGTACAGTCAAACCTGCCAAAGTTATAACCTGTGGTTAGCAATTTTGGAAAGAGTTACACAGTTGATTGTACCTTTTTCATAAAAACATATTATTAAGTAATATTGACGATCAATAATACATTCAACGGCCACCCGTAGGTGAGCCATTTACGGCATTTCGTCGTTTGGAGTTATATATTTATAGATTTTGCTGAACGGAGGAAACAGCAGGAGGCAATTATAACATATGCCAAACTTGATGTTTGTAGTTATTTAGTATATGTTGACTTATGTCAAACCCTAAGTGAGTCATCAGATGAATAAGGAAACGAGGAAGAAAAATGCAGTTTTCCGAAAAATTATTTCAGTACACCATACACCTAAAGTCATATGACGGTTTTCAGATCCATGGATGTAGATCCAAACTATATTGAGGATTTTCTTTTCTAGTGTTACATGTACTTTTCAAAGTGGCTCATTCGAGGAAAGCATACACCTACCTCGACTACCAGGATAATGGCGCTTATAATTTCATAAATATGACCACAGCGTCATGACAAATCAAATTAAATTTGTGTGTAGTGACGATACTGTAAATTACGTCACGGATATTAACCCCATCTCCATCCTCGTTTGAAAGGTTTTCATACAGCACTTCATAATAACAAAATAATAATATTGTTCAAGAAATCACCTTATTCCATAAATAAATATAAAGGTAATTATATATATTTTCATTGAATTTATATCATAGATCTATAAACTTTATATTTCAATTTCAGATGTAAACCCGATTCAGATTTGGTGTATTTTGGAGATTACTGTGAGAGTTCAGACGAACGATTGGCATTAGAATCTAAGTACATTATTGTGATAGCTTGTGTTTCGGCCGCTGTGTTCGTCATTCTTTTGGTGTTCATCAGCTGTATATGTATTCGAAAAAGACCTTTCGACCGAGGAGAATATAGTTTCCAGTAAGTACAAACAGTCATTAGTAACAACTATGACTGGTGGTTTTTTTTATTAGTAACAACTATTAATATTTGCTGTTAAAAAATATTATTGGTATTTTATGTTGCCTGTATTTTTTGTTAGAAACAGCTGTTACTGATATTTTTTGTTAGAAACAACTATTACTGGTATTTTCTGTTAGTAACAACTATTACTGGAAATGTTCGTTAGAAACAACTGTTTTTGGTATTTTCTTTAGTAACAACTATAACTGGTAAACTTTCTGTTAGTAACAACTATTACTGGTCTTTTCTATAAATAACAACCCCTACTGGTAATTTCTATTAGTAACAACCATTACTGGTACATGTTTTATTTGCATGTAACAACTATTACTGGTATTGTCTACATGTAACAACTATTACTTGCGATTTTTGATAGTAACAATTCTTACTGGTAATTTCTGAAAGTAACAACTATTATTGGCGATTTTTGATAGTAACTATTATTGGTAATTTCAGTTAGTAACAATTCTTACTGGTAATTTCTGATAGTAACAACTATTATTGGCGATTTTTGATAGTAACAACTATCATTGGTAATTTCTAATAGTAACAACTATTATTGGTAATTTCTGTTAGTCACAACTATTACTGTAATTTTCTTTTCGTAATAACTGTTACTAATTATTTCTGATGTTGACAACTATAACTGGTATTTTCTATTAGTAACAAGTATTACTGTATTGTTCTTTTAGTAAGAACTATTACTTATAATTTCTTGTTCAAAGAACTTTTTTGTTTAATCTGTTTTGATTTACAGAGAAAAAAATAAAAAGTCCTAGTTATCTTTTATTGTAACATAACGAAACCTGGACGGCTTTAGACAAAATTTGTTCGTGCTACAATGGATTAAGAACATTTTGAACGAAAATTAAAAGTAAACTTGTTTTCATTTACCTTAAAAAAAGGAGATATTGGTTTGTTAAATTAATGACCATCAGCGAATGTCTGTCATATTCATTTATCGCTCAATTTTCTATGATAATACCCCTTCTTTAAATTGACCATATTTTAGTTGTAAAGGATTCTTTAAACATTTGATAGCGTAATTCACTTCAAATATGAGCAGGTCTTATGACTTTCAACAGAATATCCAGCGAAATTATTTTTTAACACCAGCGTTAACGTTTTGAATGACGCAAATGCATCAACGGAAGGTAATACGTATCCTGATATTATAATTACAGGGAGTTTAATGACGCTTATTATTACCGCTCTACTAAGGAAGACGTTGACACTATACACAAATTATACGCTGTAGATAACGAGGCTTATGAACACTCCTCCCTCGACAACGAAAACAGTTTTAAAGAAGCACAGGTAAGCCTTATACCTATTATCAGGTTTTTATCCTCAGTAATTTCTGTAATTGAGTCTCTTTTTTGGGAGTTGTTGTTTTCGTGTAATATGCATTTGGTTAGACCAGAAGGACTCTTAATATGCATCTGGTGTCCTTGTATGTTGACGTTGTGATATAGTGTGTCCTTGTATGTTGACGTTGTGATATATTGTGTCCTTGTATGCTGACGTTGTGATATATTGTGTCCTTGTATGCTGACGTTGTGATGTATTTTTTTTCTAGTATGTTGACGTTGTGACATATGTTATCCTTGTATGTTGACGTTGTGATATATTGTGTCCTTGTATGTTGACGTTGTGATATTTTTCGTTCCTGTGTTTTGACGTTGTGATATTTTTCGTTCTTGTGTTATGACGTTATGATGTATTTCGTTCTTGTATGTTGACGTTGTGATATTTTTTCTAGTATGTTGACGTTGTGATATATTGTGTCCTTGTATGTTGACGTCATGATATACTTTGTTCTGGTGTGTTCACGTTGTGATATATTTTGTTCTATTATGTTGACGTTGTGATATATTGTGTCCTTGTATGTTGACGTTGTGATATATTTCGTTCTTATATGTTGACGTTGTGATTTATTTTTTTCTTCGTGTATTTAAGCTTTAGCCATAACATATTTTTCATTGTGTGCTACGGTCGTACATTTTATATTGTTTTGTGTTGACCCCGTCGTATATTTGTCCCTCTGTGTTTACGCTGTTGTATATTTTGTCCTTATGCGTATTGTTTTAATTTTTTCTTATGTAACAACTTCATCGAAGTTATTTATTTTTTGTTTCATTTTTAGATCTAACATTGAAGAAAGCACAGAATCTTCAGATGTCTGTTATAAAAATAGCACTGTTCGTGGATGTGTTTCAATGGCATACGATGGACAGTTGTTACATGAACATCGAGGGTATTATATTGACACAGGAAGTGAAACTATAATAAATGTTCTGAAAAATTAATTTACTTCTACCGCCACAAATGAATGTTGAGATTTACAATGACGTGACATTATCACAGCAAAACGGAAACATCAAGAAACTGACTATCCAGCGAAGCATATGTTGCTAAGATGATCCATGGATAACGTCTTTGCTAGAACCAACTGGATACTTATGAAAAGTTAATATTTTCTCAGTGGGAGGTAGATATATCAACACCAGACATTAGCTAATTACCCACCAAGTCTGTAGCGTATATTAGAATTATTATTGATACATTTGTATTTTTTGGACCAAATATTGATAATGATTCAAATGTTATTGATAATATTTTATGAATAGACAATATATCGAGTCAACCTAACTACATGTACGCGACAGAAATACAACACATAACTTGCATAAGATTTTTAAAAATACATCATTGGTTTTGTGTACAAAAACAACTGTTTGATGGCAGTGCGTATGCCATTTTTGTGACGATGGAAGCTTGCGTATATCAGGGTACCTGTAAGTAAAAGTTTGATCAGGAAAGTATATGTCTGGTGTATAAACAGAAAATTGCTTAAAGAGCAATTTGATGTAAGAGTATCCGTACGACCATACATCCTACTGTTGTGGCGTCACTACAACGTTATATTGGAGCACTCAGGGTGTATACATTGGTGTTTGTTTGGAAAAAGTAGGGTATATTGTCAAAATGCATGATTCATCTTGAATAAAATTGGTAAGTTAAGAGCTACATTTCGCGCAATGAGCTTGCTGTCGAGGAATGTGTACCAAAGTGAAAAGATATTACAATACTGACTGATGAAAAGGGTAATAACTTTGTTCGCCTTTTTATAAAATCATAATTGGTTTATGTTTGTAAATGTTTGGACGGTGATGGAACATTCTAAAACTATCTTCAATATAAGTATTTGTGAAAAATATTAACTTTGTAAATTGACAGCATTGCATCAGTTGAGTGAGTCATGGTAAAGAGTCCAAGTACTCCTTTTGGTATCTTTAACAAAGAAGAGTTCTCCATTGTTCAGTGTTTTTCTTACTTGAACTTATTGTGTATGACAACAGAAAAATATCACATATGAATGAAATATGTATCAATTTAATTCATCCCTTTTTGACGAGAATACCTGCCTCACAGCGAAATGCTCAAGTGTAAGCTTTATCGGTCATAAAAGCTGTTATGCTTATATTTTTGTAACATTGCTGGGAATCATTATTAAATAAAATTCCCAGAAACCCAAATAAAAATTGTGTTTGTATAAAATAAAGATGCATTAGCAAGAAAAACAACTTTCCGTTGCTTGTATACAGGGGCAAATGTGTGCGTGTGTGTGCGAGAGGAGGACGATGTTCCAAGCGGTGTTAATTCAGTAACACCAAAACGGATGTTGGTGTCGTTTTGTGTCATGTGCCATTCTTCAAAGCTTTTGGTTTCGTCAAATGAACCAATATGTTCAACAACATTAGCCTATATTTCCGGAGAATGGGAGATGTAATTAATGTTCTTTTGTTATGAAAAATAAACTGTTCTCGCAATGCTGACAATATGGAACCATACTTGTTCCAGTGTCGTTGCATGCTTGTCAATTTCAATCTTTTGGCAAAGCCTCGTAGTTAAAAATAAACAATTAACATATATTTAAATTAGAAATGAATATGATAAAACACTAACACAATATCTCATTTTCTATTTAGCACCTTCATTCTCTCTTATTAAAAGAACTGTAAGGTGACATTTTCTATTTATTTCGCTATGCATACACTTTTTGATTATTCAATATTTTATCATTATATATTTTTTGTAAAGTTCAATGCATAAGATTTAATCTATTTTGCATCAAAATATTTTCAAAATACCACGAACATATTTATGACCTACTTAAATGAAGAAATGTGTCTGTTAAAGACATTTTCTAGAATGGTATCAAGCGATATTCAGTCATAAACGTATGTTTGTAAAGAAGCACATAAATATTGCAACACATGTGAAAACTTTTGTCTTTACCTTTAGAAGGTAGAGAGCTCCATCACTCTAAATTGTTGTAAACGAATGAAAATGATTAATGTAATTCGTTTTTTAACTAAACGCATTAAAGATATACGTCGTTTTGCCCCCGGATTTCTTTATTTTAACGCAAAAACCACCACGCTCTCGGTGATGGTTTTGATAATAATTAATACCTGTCTAGATCATTACTGGAACTATTTTTTAAATGTGCAAAATCTTTCAAAGCCTAAAACGTATAAATGTCGCTGTATGTATGTTAAGGAAATCATATCAATTAAGAATGCAAATAGCTTTTTTCAGGGTCAGCTTAGAGTAGAAAAATGGCGAGACTCTCAACGTTACATGTAACTAATATATTCCCATCTATGTATTGATTAGAATGTTAAGAGGAATCTAAAACGTTCGAGATGTTTTAGGTTGTAAAAGGACACTTACCTTAATCTCCTGAACATCATAATTTTTGCATACCTAACCTTCGATGATCTCTCAAACACGTTTTACAATTTTGGGTCCGACTAAACTAAACGTGAATGAACACAGAAATATAATGGATATTGTCTACGGAATGCCAAGCTTTAACCAATATGAGGAAGGTCGTGATATATCTCTCAGCATACTATTAACCTTTGTTAGTCGCCAAGGTCGTAATCGTAAGGAACAATTTCAAGGAGATGAAATTTTCCTAAACAAACTTCAGATTATTTGTTGATTGATAACAGAAGTTTCCCCACTGCTCTTAAGCTAATGTATATAGAGGTATATCAACTAATAGCGTATTTCTGATTAGCACTCCCTAGCTTTCCTACTTCCCAGACCCACCCTTCTGGAGGCCGATTATGAAAAGTTATATCAGGTAGTTCTAGAAGACTTAGGCTATTGTTGGACTTTATGCTATTCGGGAGAACTTTGGTGATTTATATAGCTGTGGTGTAAAGGTAAGATTGTTTCTTATTGATATTTTATGTTAATCATGAGTTATGTGTTTGTTACTACTATGATATTCAATAAGACAAAGCATTTAAACATATATTTGTATGTGTCCTACGTCTGATGGGTGTTATTACGTGTGGTATGGAAATAACTGCATCAACAGCATAACTATTAGGATATAGTATTTGTATGATTTATAATGGTGATATATAGTCATCAATATAAGTATATGTATCTATTGAAATATTTGCATTAGCATCATGATCTCTGTGTAAAGATATGAATTTTGTATTTTATTAAACAAAACATTTGGTAACATATTTGTATTTCTTTGTCTGATTTTGATTATCTTTAGGTACATGAAAACTTTTACTTTACTCTTTGTTATCATTATACACAAAGTATACTACTTACAGATTTAATTTGACAAACTATTAATTTCCAGTTTAAAATTAAACCTTAAATTCAAGAATTGATTCTATAATCGTATTAGATCATTGTACAGCTTTACGTGTTAATTGATCACTGCGTATTACGCTGGTTCATTTTATTGTAAAAATGTTGTGATAATACTGCCAATACATCTGTCATTTTATAAAGTACTGTATATTACAATCTTACATCAATCTAATATCACTAAAGCATGAGCCCATGACTTCCATCGCTATTTATAGCTATTCATAACGTCAACATGTAAATGACGTCACATTCGCGCAAACCAATCCCGACAGCGTTATGGCCGCAGTGTTAACTTGCGTTTTTATAATGTATTGTTAACTGTGATGTATTATCTATTGTAACACACCAGTGATACACCATTGACATTAGAAGTTTGGTAAGGCGATGGAACTATCTGAGTGAGAATTTCCGTGCGTGATTCTATTGGCTTCAATAGTAATAAAGAGCCATTGAAAGAAAATAATATAGGATAGTGATTAGGACATGTTACTGTTAATATGTTTAATTTACCGAGAATATTCATTTTCATTTCCATTTGCAGATATGACCAATTTATATTTTATTTTCTCGCGAATATTTATACGATACAAGTATCGATAATATAGCTGTTCCTTTCATGAGCTGTAATCATCATGAATAAATGATTTTAAAAATTTTGAAATTAAATTTTCACTGTCTGTAATCATCATGGATAAATAATTTCAGAAAGTACTCACGAAAATATAAGTTCCCTAAAATACAACAATGTACAGTATCTGTTATTACTGATAATGTATGCCTTTATATATTATACCTGGGTTTTTTAAATGATAAATATTGCATCGCATTACCAAGTAGTCCTAAATAATCATTGGAGACCTTACGTACAAAAAAAATTGATTAAAAAATTAAACGGATTACTACATATTTAAAATATATAGTTTTAAATGTCCATTTAAATATGGCTTGAAAATACCAAGAAATGATCCTTGGGTCTCGACCTATTTATTTCTTATCCGTGATATTCGTGCATCACTTTAAATGCAAGGCACACTTATAATCCCATATGGAACACTTATAAGTTAAATGATTTCCTGTATATTACCGCACCCGGCCGGAACAACATTTATTTTCATATCTTGCCAGGAAATCCAAGTATAAACAAGTTTATGTAGTTTAAGATAGCAATGGTCATTTCTGATCGGTTTACCTTCATAAACGTGCTGTTATCTCAATGTGACGTGACATTAGTTGATTGATACAGTAACTGTGATCAGCGGAATATCTAGCTGCCAAACAATTTCAAAAACAAATATCCCCTCCAGTAAATAATCATGTATTACAAAAGCATACTGTTGATTTTTTCTATACTGTATTGATACCATTTAGCCTGAATCTTAAGAAATATATTATATTATTTATATATAAAGAAACCGATTTGTCATGCTGACTAGGCTTAATGTGCCCTAGTCTCGGTTTCACATTTCTTAACATGTGTCAAGCTGTTTGCCTAAATTTTTTACGACATACTTTTCCCTAGAGAAAATATAAGCTAAGGAAAACATCTTAGATTTCCTAAATTAGGAAAACCTCTGAGTTCAGTCGGTATATGAATACGAAGCCTTGATGAGACGTTAATATCGCAATGCAGATTACATGGGTGTTATTTATGTACACGAGTTATGAAGGGAAAAATGCATCAGCTTCTAGTTCTAAAGAGATAGCATGGAATTTCCGAGAACGGCACTTTGATATTTTCCTATAATAAACAGGAATTATGGGGTTTTTTCAACGTGTCGTATTAATGATTTATTTTTACTTTATTGAATAAGGTTTTATAATAAACAATAATTCGAAATTCTTATAAACCGCTTTAGGTTGTCCTAAAATGGTTCAAAATCCGTTGTAATAGGACCTTTGCAACCAGTCAATATCTTTATCATCTCCCTGGGGAGCATACAGCCAGTGCTGCCATTTCGGCGCTCACAGCTATATGTACCATTCAATAATTCTAACACTGCCTAACCACGTACTCATTTAAAGCTGAGTAGACTGGAACAAGCGAAGTAAAGTATCTTGCTCAAGGATTCAACACAGTGCCGTGACGTGACTGGAACCCGCATGTCCGTATGAAAATTACAATTATTACACCTTTTATGTATATATAGTAACATTATGATTATTCCAAATTTACATTTAAAACGACACAGTACATATGACGTCACAACCAAGGTTCGGTTAATCACTGGTTAGCATGTGACCCAAATAGTCAGGTCAACAAATTCTTTGTCATTACGAACAAGAGACCAAAGGCTACGTAGTTATCTGGGCATATGACTGAACTTGAAACTGCTGAATCCTGTTCCGGTGCCTGTTGTCAGCTCCCGGTAACAAGAGACCTTGCATCAGTTCTGTTTTACAATATAACAATGACATATATTTTTTCTTCAAAACTATAAAATATGTCTGTAAGACACGGATGGCCCGCTCCCTGTTTGGCCTTATAGATAAACGCCGCTCTGGACTCGCGTATGCACACACAGTGTAGTGGGTGCTACGAACTTTATGTTACACACGTTATGAATTGGTGTCTGTGCTATTTTCAGCATGTCAAAATTCTCACTTTGATTAATAACAAGAGTGTTAATTAAATCTGAGTACATTTTCAAGAAGCTAGAACAACAATCGCATCAAACTGATGCGATTGCAAGCAAAAGACAAAGGATGCAAATGATGAGTGTGGAATAAAAACTTTCAAACTGGAAACAACACTTGAATGCAGTCTATGTTTCACTGTTGCTTTTACAATTTTGAAATTCAACGTTTAAGCAAAATAAAATCTTCCATTAAAACTACACATGAAGAAATCTTGAAACAGAAACATAAAAAATGAGAAAATATCATAAATCATGCAAAAGGTTATTTGGTCGAATTGGCGGATCTCTGACCATTCTAACGCTTCTATATACTCGGTCATCATAGTGGCAGAGCACGGACGAAGTGTATTATTAATGTATGATACGTTCTCCCATAGGACCCCTTGTATTATATAAATATGATAAAAGGAGAGGAAGCCACCTATGTACGAAATAGTTAGTAATCAATTAAAATACAGCAACATGTTAAATATTACATAGATATACTGCAATTGTAGTAAGAACACAAAGTCCTGTAAAATCATTAATTTTCATGGGACATTAAATTTCGTTTATTTCGTGGATAACAAGATTCGCGAAAAAAAATCCCCACGAAAACGTAAATTTGGCATGATATAAATAGATAGGGACAAATCAGAAATTAGCGAAATAGAATGTCTTTGAAACAGGCTAGTATATGAACACAACGAAATTTTAACCGCACGAAAATAAATGATTCTACAGTATTTCCAATCCATTAAGCCATGTCCAGCCATTTTGATATATCATATGACATATCTTAAGTAGCAATAACTGTCTATGTAAGGTCAATCTTTTAACCTAAATAAAAAATAAATAAAAATCATTCTCAGGAGGTGGATATGTCTAGATGATAAATCAATTCTTCAGATATCGAATTATCCCCTTAAGTAAACTGACCTGCTGACCTGTTTGTAGATTAAGGTGGTGAGAGACATGTTTGGTTACACAGGGACAAAAGCCAATTCTCAAAACAAACACTAGACCCCTCGCTAGTAAGTATGGTCAGCTTTCTGAAATGAAAAAGAAAGTTCGTCTTCTGAATGTTCATCATAATCTACGTTTGGTCACATTTGCTGAGTTTTGAAATAATATTCATCAAAGTTTTAAGAAGAAATATTGAAAAGATAATACCTACTAGTGATCAAACACTGAAATTAACCAAAGTTGAGAAGATCGTGTTCAGGGGGTGAAGACGTTAAAAACTAGGTTAAGATCAGGTCAGATATAGTTTTAGCATATCTCTGTTGTCTTTACATTAATCTCTATATAAAACTATAATGCATTACTGATAAACCCCATCACTTTAGACCACTTTCGCTCGTCAATGTAGGTGTGGAAAGGGGGCGTGGTTACAGAATAAACGAATACATGCCATGAATTATTGATATTTCAATAAAATTACACGAGGGAATACCGATGTGTCAACAAAATCATGATTTGAACTAAAAATCTATGAAAATATTGCAAAAAAAATATGAATAAAGAAAGATTTGCATTGAGACCATGAAAAAAGTGCAAGACTTATAAGACCAGATGTCACAGAAGGGTAAGGGTCTTTTGCTTTATCGATGACACCCTTCGAATAGTAACAACAAAACCAAAAAGGCATTCAAATAATGTAACCAGAAACACAGACCTTCACATCACACAAGGAAATCTAACCAATAGAATACATACATTTGTTAAATACTGTTAGCGGAAAAATATAAATACATTTTGATTTTTCTCAGAATATTTCTCAGCACATTACACATTGCAATGTAACAAGACGATGTCAATTACATGCATGCACGTTTCATGTTTGTGTTAGGTGAGCAGTTTTTAATTTGCAATATTAAGAATTGTTTTGTATTTATTTGCAAACAGATATTATTCATATCTTAAAGCAAACAAATATATATGAAATAATATCAAATATAACCAACTATAATTTTTCATTCACAGAATTGGAAAATCATTAACATCATTATGATACACAAATGGCCCGTAGTTTAGTTGAAAATTGGTAAGGAAAACCAACAGTGAATTCAACTTTATAGCTGTGACGTTAAACAGACAGTGGCTACATAAGTAAACTCATGTGCGTTGAAATTAAATGTCATTTACATGTTAATTTAAACAAAATATTATATATATATACATATCTGTACATACAACTATATATAATGTTCATCACCATTCAAACAGGCAAGTGATTTTGGTAACACTTAGACCAGGTGTAGATTTGACATCTAGTTCAAATATAAGACACAAATTAACGTTCTATATTTTAAAGTCGTTAACTCTATCTTTTTATCACTGCTTTCAATGAACTGTAATATTTGTTTAAAAATCTCAAAAAAACTCAGGCATATTCTTAAACTATTTTTAGATTTATATTGTCTGGACATAATACTTTTTGGAATGCAAATTCTTCGATGTGGATCGAACACAGGTAAACACATATTACTCATATACATGGAAAATTGCTATCATTTATGCAAAATAATTTTGAAATGTTTAGTTTTACATTAAGAAGTAATAGTGAATGCACGGTGTAAGCAGTGTTTAAGAAAGGAACATCAGTGTTATTGACTGTTAAGGTATCGCTACATTACTGGATAGTAAACACATATACTTGTCAAGATATAAAGTAAATCATACAGTTGAGTGACTTCCATCTGTTTCATTTACTCTGTACAAGCCTGCATTTTGTACACATATTCGTTTACATCCGTGATGGTGTTTCAGACAGAATCAACATCATGGTGACCATGAGGTGGACGATTGTATTGGTCGCTATGGCTGTAATGTTAACTACACCAGGAGATGGCATGTCACTTTCTCTATTCAAGCAGCAAGGTAGGTATAACTTGAGGCCTTTTGTAGGTTCATGGTGTGTTTCCTTTTGTTTTGGTGTCTTCTGTTCCTGATGATGTCTTGAGGTCAGCTATTATCCCTTTGCGATGCCCCTATGACATTTACAGTCTTACATAACTGTGATACACAGTACTTAGATATAACCGACGTTTCAATCCATGATAACTCTCCACCAAATGATATCAACGTCTCCATATCATAACTAGTAATTATTGTTTAACATTAATTCCAATATGCTGGTCGTCGACCCAAACTTCATTGATAAACACATAAAATAACTTTATGCTTATGGCAAAATATATAAGAATACTATATAACTCAGTTTTGTTTTATGGTCAAAAAAGTGATCTGCTGTCTTGCAATATTTGTTTTGCAAAGAGTCATTACATATAATGGTTATGTTATGTATGAAGGCAATCAATTATCAATGCTTAACTCTTCAATGTTTGATATTAACATATAACATGATATTTCTTTCAGAATTTGATAAGTGTTACCAAGTTTGTCCAACCACTACAACAACAACAACAACAACAACGACAACTACAACAACTCCGACAACAACTACAACTACCACTCCAACGACAACAACCACTCCGACGACGACAACAACTCCTACAACAACAACTCCGACCACTACATCGACTACAACTCCAACGACCACTACCACGACTACAACTCCAACGACAACAACCACTCCGACAACTACAACACCTACAACTACAACAACTCCGACAACTACCACGACTACAACTCCAACGACAACAACCACTCCGACAACTAAAACGCGTACACCTACAACAACTCCGACCACTACAACGACTCCAACGACAACGACAACAACCACTTCCACTACTACAACTCCAACAACAGCAACAACCACCCCGACGACAACAGCTACACCAACTCCTACCACTACTAAGACCACCACTCCAACGACGACAACCACTTCAACGACTACAACCCCCACAACTACCACAACACCAACAACAACGAAAACACCAACTACAAGTACTAAAACCACAACTACAACCCCGACCACTACCACAACTACAACCCCGACCACTACCACACCAACGACAACTACCACTACGCCAACAACAACTACAACACAAACAACTACTACAACACCGACAACCACTAAAACGCCAACAACTACCACAACTACAACAACAACAACGCCAACAACAACTACAACACCGACAACTACTACAACAATACCGACAACTACTACAACACCAACCACTACTACAACACCAACAACTACTACAACAACGCCAACAACTACCACAACAATACCGACAACTACAACAACACCGACAACTACAACAACACCGACAACTACGACAACACCAACAACTACAACAACACCGACAACCACAACAACACCAACAACTACTACGACACCGACAACTACAACAACTACGACGCAAACAACTACCACAACACCAACAACTACAACCACGACGCCAACAACTACTACAACACCGACAACTACAACAACAACAACGCCAACAACTACAACAACACCGATAACTACCACAACAACAACGCCAACAACTACAACAACTACAACACCGACAACTACCACAACAACAACGCCAACAACTACATCAGCTACAACACCGACAACTACCACAACAACAGCGCCAACAGCTACAACAACACCGACAACTACCACAACAACACCGACAACTACCACAACAACAGCGCCAACAGCTACAACAACACCGACAACTACCACAACAACACCGACAACTACCACAACAACAACTCCAACAACTACAACAACACCGACAACTACCACAACAACAACTCCAACAACTACAACAACACCGACAACTACCACAACACCGACAACTACTACAACACCGACAACTATAACAACAACACCGACAACTACCACAACAACAGCGCCAACAACTACAACAACACCGACAACAACAACAACACCGACAACTACTACAACACCAACAACTATAACAACAACACCGACAACTGCCACAACAACAGCGCCAACAACTACAACAACACCGACAACTACTACAACACCGACAACTACAACAACACCGACAACTACTACAACGCCAACAACTACCACAACACAAACAACTACTACAACACCAACAACTACAACAGCATCTACAACTACCACAACCACAACACCAACAACTACTACAACAACAACGCCAACAACTACGACAACACCGACAACTACCAAAACAGCAACGCCAACAACTACAACAACACCGACAACTACTACAACGCCGACAACTACAACAACACCGACAACTACAACAACACCGACAACTACAACAACACCGACAACTACTACAACACTGACAACTTCTACACCGCGGACAACAACTACAACGCCAACAACTACCAAAACACATACAACTACCACAACCCCAACACCAACAACAACAACAACACCGACAACTACCACAACCACAACGCCAACAACTACCACAACACCATCAACAACGACACCGACAACTACTACAACCACAACGCCAACAACTACTACAATACTGACCACTACCACAACAACAACGCCAACAACTACCACAAAAACACGTACAACTACTACGACACCACCAACTTCAACGACACCGACAACTACTACAACCACAACGCCAACAACTACTACAACACCGACCACTACCACAACTACAACTACAACTACACCGACAACTACCACCAACCCTACCACTACTACAGCTCCTACAACTACAACTACGACGTCAACAACTACCACAACACCGACAACCACAACTACCACAACACCGACAACAACCACGCCTACTACAACTACAATAGACTGTGTAAAGGTATGTCGGTCCTGGGGCAGAACGCCGTTACATCTGACCACGCCGGACAAGAAACCTGCCGCCACTCTACACTCTCCATACAGTAATACGGTACCTCTCTGGGGTAGGTACACAAACCGATTGATGCATCATGTGTTTATGATGTTAAATAGCATATAATTGCAATTACTCCATATCAAAAATGAAACCTGTTGGATCTTTGTTGCTCCTTGTTTGGCGTAGAAATAAGAATGTTTGAGGTGAAATGTTTGTGCTATTACGGACTCTTTTGTCAGCTTGAATGCTATGGTATCGTCTCTCATTGTGTACTTATAGTCATACACTATATACAAAATCCTTTCTAAAAAAGCAATGAACAAAATCATAATTACGGATTTTTGAAAGGTAGTTTTATCTTCAGAAAACATTTCCACTTTTTTTTTGTGTGTGGGAGGTTAAAAGCTAAAAAAAACATATTTGGTGGAATTTTCTTAATAATTGTCAAATATCTGTATAAGAGCTGAGAACCCGGAGCCCACTTTTTTAAATTGAGTTGTAGTTTTAGATAAACATTATTTCTTATCAAAGCCTTTTTGTGAATATCTAAGTAAATCTCAATTTTCAGAAACTGCCATATTTCTCCTGCCTTTTACTATATCTTTCGATATAAATTGGGAGGATGACTATTTAAAGGTGACTTCCAATGAATACAAGACACTATCAAGGAAAATTGTGGATCTGGTAAGTAACGCATTTAATTAAGCTATTAATGTTTTAGTAAATGTTGATATGGTCCTATAACTCACATTGCTATTGATGACAAACTTAATAAAGCCCAGTAATATTTACATTTTAATAGAGTAGTTATTCGTTATTTAATTATTTCGAACAGTTTTTGAAAAGCAAATTAGGTGTGAACAACAATGAAATTGATGCCGTCACAACAGAGGTTGATGACGTCACAATAGCAAATGTAGTCTTATAAAAACATTTGCCAACTGGAAAAGAGCAACACAAAATGATTGATTCGTCTCCCCCTTCACAATCACTTCATCAACCAACAATATTAAAACGCTTCATACATGTAAAACACCTATCTTTGATGGTTGTTTATTATGAAAAAATTGGCGCATACATGTATGCTAAGCCTGACGTATGAGGTTATGGTAGTGTAATAAAAGGTTTCGAGTAAAGACAGTTATTGATATACGTGATACATGTACCACCGTTGCCTCTGCGACTAAATTACTTGCTACTGATGACATCTTCAAACTGAACACTAATGACAATGAGTTGGTTATACCAGATACTAGCAAACCCTTCTTTATGTTTTTTTCCAGATGGAGACGTTATATAAAGACGTCCCCGGTTTCAGAAAAATTACAATCGTTCAGTACAGGTGAGTCTTTCACAGGTTGTGTTAATTGGGTTTTTTTCCAAAATAATTCATACTATTCTTCTCGTTTTCAAAATAAACCCAGATGATGGTGCATTATATTTCTTATTTATGACATTTTATTGTGCCTTTAAACAAGATAAAACAAGATATGTTGACATTTAGACATTATCATTCATGAAATGTCAATAACGAGGCCCCCATTTTGTTATTCATTTACAGTGTTTTGTGGTCACATTAATCCCCCTTCATGTCGCAAATCACCACAACAAGCCACAATCATGTCTTTAACTACCAATGTGAGCTTAAATTTAATCCACCATCTTGCCCAGAATCACTTTATTTAAGCGAAAATCCCGTCCGTCATTTCCGAATAAACCCCGCATTTTTCTCGTGTTCTCAGGCATGGCAGTGTGGTATGTACCTATGCTGTTAACCTGGATGTGACGTCACATAGAGACAAAACATGGGACATAACTCTATCCAAAGTCCAGGAAGTACAGAAACAATTGGACTACTGGGCCAGTGTAAACAATATAGGTGCCCTCACTACGGGATACCTCAGGAGAAATCGCCCTACTGAAAATGCACAAGGTAGGTTCTGAAAGATACACAGTTTGTATAGGGGGTGGGGGGTGGGGGGACATATCCAGAAGAACATATTCTTAATCTGAGGTCGAAATGAAACGATAATAAGGGGAAATGTAGACATAACAGGACTAACAAGACAACGTCTCATACTTACAAAACATAGGGGACAAAGCCGGGTGCTTTGGGGATGTTAGCGTTTTCTGTTACAAAAGTGAGTCCCGTCATTATGTACTCAGTCAAAACTAGGAACGTGTCTGGGAAATCAACCATCTTAGACACGGTGTGGTCGACAGGAAATGCTACAAGTGAATACAATGAATGTCGAGTTTTGCAAAGAACTCCCAAATTTCTTTATTGTAGATTGGATCAGTTCAGATTGAAAATGCGTTCCATTTAATGGTAAACAGGAAAGCACCTAGCCAGAACATCCAGATCTGTACCCATTCATCTGTAACACGTTAACTATACAGATAGATGAGAGTGTGACTTGAAGCTAATTATTGGACTTGCTGAAAGATTATCTTTTCTTGAAATTAAAGTCGTCACGAACGGTTTTAAAAGTTTATGGTTCGGTGAACAGCGTTCTATCATTGTAGATATATATAATATAGTTTGGTGGTGACGTAACCATTGATGTCGTACTGTAGATAAACGTTATAAAGTCAGGTGGCGACGTGACCATTGATGTCGTTCAATAAATAAATGTTATATAGTTTGGTGATGACGTAACCATAATTGTCGTACTATAGATAAATGTTATATATTTTGGTGGTGACATGACAATCGATGTCGTTCAATAGATAAATGCTATATAGTTATTTGGTGACGTGACAACAATGGGCGTATTATAGAAAAATGTTAAATAGTTTTGTTGTGACGTGACAACAATTGTCGTATCATAGATAAATGTTATATATATCGATGTCGTTCAATAGATAAATGTTAGATAGTTTGGAAGTGACGTGACCATTGATGTCGTTCGACGTGACCATTAATGTCGTTCTATAGATAAATGTTATATAGTTAGGTGGCGACGTGACCATTAATGTCGTTCAATAGATAAATGTTATATAGTTATTTGGTGACGTGACAACAATGGTCGTATTATAGAAAAATGTTAAATAGTTTTGTGGTGACGTGACAACAAGTGTCGTATCATAGATAAATGTTATATATATTGATGTCGTTCAATAGATAAATGTTATATAGTTTGGTGGTGACGTGACCATTGATGTCGTTCAATAGATAAATGTTATAAAGTTTGGTGGTGACGTGACCATTGATGTCGTACTGTAGATAAATGTTAAATAGTTTGGTTGTGACGTGACCATTGATGTCGTACTGTAGATAAATGTTATATAGTTTGGTGGTGACGTGACGATCGATGTCGTACTGTAGATAGATGTAATATAGTTTGGTGGTGACGTAACCATAATTGTCGTACTATAGATAAATGTTATATATTTTGGTGGTGACATGACAATCGATGTCGTTCAATAGATAAATGTTTTAAAGTTTGGTGGTGACGAGACAAATGATGTCGTTCAATAGATAAATGTTATATAGTTTGGTGGTGACGTGACCATTGATGTCGTTCAATAGATAAATGTTATATAGTTTGGTGGTGACGTGACCATCGATGTCGTACTGTAGATAGATGTAATATAGTTTGGTGGTGACGTAACCATAATTGTCGTACTATAGATAAAAGTTATATATTTTGGTGGTGACGAGATTATTGATGTCGTTCAATAGATAAATGTTATAAAGTTTGGTGGTGACGTGACCACTGATGTCGTTCAATAGATAAATGTTATAAAGTTTGGTGGTGACGTGACCACTGATGTCGTTCAATAGATAAATGTTATAAAGTTTGGTGGTGACGTGACCACTGATGTCGTTCAATAGATAAATGTTATAAAGTTTGGTGGTGACGTGACCACTGATGTCGTTCAATAGATAAATGTTATAAAGTTTGGTGGTGACGTGACCATTGATGTCGTACTGTAGATAAATGTTATAAAGCCAGGTGGCGACGTGACCATTGATGTCGTTCAATAGATAAATGTTATATAGTTTGGTGGTGACGTGACCATCGATGTCGTACTATAGAAAAATGTAATATAGTTTGGTGATGACGTAACCATAATTGTCGTACTATAGATAAATGTTATATATTTTGGTGGTGACATGACCATCGATGTCGTTCAATAGATAAATGTTTTAAAGTTTGGTGGTGACGAGACCATTGATGTCGTTCAATAGATAAATGTTATATAGTTTGGTGGTGACGTGACCATTGATGTCGTACTGTAGATAAATGTTATATAGTTTGGTGATGACGTAACCATAATTGTCGTACTATAGATAAATGTTATATATTTTGGTGGTGACATGACCATCGATGTCGTTCAATAGATAAATGTTTTAAAGTTTGGTGGTGACGAGACCATTGATGTCGTTAAATAGATAAATGTTATATAGTTTGGTGGTGACGTGACCATTGATGTCGTACTGTAGATAAATGTTATATAGTTTGGTGTTGACATGACCATTGATGTCGTTCAATAGATAAATGTTATATAGTTTTGTGGTGACGTGACAACAATGGTCGTATTATCGAAAAATGTTATATATTTCTGTGGTGACGTGACAACAATTGTCGTATTATAGATAAATGTTATAAAGTTTGGTGGTGACGTGACCACTGATGTCGTACTGTAGATAAATGTTATATAGTTTGGTGGTCACGTGGCCATTGATGCCGTTCATTAGATAAATGTTTTAAAGTTTGGTGGTGACGAGACCATTGATGTCGTTCAATAGATAAATGTTATATAGTTTGGTGGTGACGTGACCATTGATATCGTACTGTAGATAAATGTTATATAGTTTGGTGGTGACGTGGCCATTGATGTCGTTCATTAGATAAATGTTATATAGTTTGGTGGTGACGTGACCATTGATGTCGTTCAATAAATAAATGTTATATAGTCTGGTGGTGACGTGACCATTGAGGTCGTTCAATAGATAAATGTTATATAGTTTGGTGGTGACGTGACAACAATTGTCGTACTGTAAATAAATGTTATATAGTCTGATAGTGACGTGACCATACTAATCGTACTGTAAATAAATAGTATACAGTTTGGTGGTGACGTAACTATTGATGTCATACTGTAGATAATGTAATATAGTTTGATAGTGACGTTGATGTAAATACTTCCAATGAAGAACGTTATACAACACTTATACAGAGAGATGAAGCTTCCTGGGAAAACAGTTCCAAGTTGAGGAAGGCATGTCTCCAGAACAAAGACTGTATAAAGGTTTTCTTTATCATTTGTAGCTCAAGTAAGTTCCCGCTCTCCGTGTATGGCCACAGGGATATGCCCAGTGGGGTATGTTTGCCACTACACAAATGGAGTAACCTCCTGCGTTCATAAATGTAAGGACGACAATCCTTGTAAACACGAAGCGGAGTGCTACGTTGATGAACAGAACAATGTCGGATGCAGGTTTGTAAACATTTTGACATCTCACAGGCGAGAACTGTTCTATGAATTATTTGTGGTCTGCTTGTTATATTTCTGTATAAAGAAGAAGGAGTCTGCGAATCAATTTTCCTCTAGAATGTTCAGACTGACAAACTTAAATCTGAAATTATTGTTCATATCTCAAATAAAATCCCTATCCATAAACAATCTCGCAGAAATACTGCACCAAGATTTGCATAATTAATCTCAACATTGTGTTATTGTCAACATTGTGTTATTGTCAACACTGTGTTATTGTCAACATTGTGTTATCGTCAACATTGTGTTATTATCAACATTGTGTTATTGTCAACATTGTGTTATTGTCAACATTGTGTTATTGTCAACATTGCGTTATTGTCAACATTGTGTTTATGCTTATACTTCGATTGACATAACATGTTAACTCGCTAACATAACATGTTTTTGTTTTTATTTGAAACTTTGACATCTATACGCCTTGTTTGCCTTCAACCGGATTATTTGATAAATTAGTAATTAACATCTTAATTGTCAAAGGTCTGTGTATATGTAAGTGGACCTAATTAAAATCATCTCGCTTCCCATGTACTTCCAAGTTAGACACAGCTTAAATAATTGCCAACACATTACAGATCATTGTGAATGAAAAGTCATTTCCAGATTATTTCGGTTACCAATATCGTAACACCCTATAGCTTTGCTCATTTCTTACTCGTTTAAACACTTCCCAGTAATAATAAATTGTTTTAGTAAAATCAGTCCTGAAGTGAAATATTTAGAAAGTTTAAAAACATCCCGGTCGAGGGTAAACCACGCTGTTTAAATTCGCAAATATACTTCAAATAATATATATTCCCTGTAAAATATTATTATTGGCAGTATATTAAGCCCGCCTTAGACTTAACCCCCTGTAGGACTAGGGATAAAATGTTCTGCACAGATATATTGCATTTTGTAACAGACTTATTACATAGTTTAGATTTTCTACTCTATTGCCTTTTTCTTAACTGCTCCCACCTCAACCCATTAAACCGTGAACAATTCCATATTGACCTTATTGAATCATTAAAACTATTTATTTGGAGGCATCGTAGCCTAGTGGTAGGACGCCGGGCTGGTGACCGAATGGCTGCGGGTTCGAGTCCCGTTACGGCACTGTGTTATTGCTTTGAATAAGATACTTTACTCCGCGTGTTCCAGTCTACTCAGCTGTAAATGAGTACGTGGTTGGGCAGTGCTAGAATTGTTGAATGCTAACAGTGAGCGACCAAATCGCAGCACTGACTGTATGCTCCCCAGTGAGTTTAGAAAGTTATTGGCTGGTTGCAAATGCCCTTTAACCATGGATAATAAAT